TGAATGATCCCATCTTCTCATGATGACTTTTTCTTAAGTTTTAGCATTTTAGGTAAGGTATTCTGATGTTGGAAAAATGAGTGGTAACAGAATATGATTCCTGCATTAATAGATGTATTTTTCACTACTATTATCAACGCGAGTTCATGTCTTCCCTTTCTCTACACAGTACAGATGTAGATCTGCAGCAAAGGTGAGCTTGTCTTATGACACTGAATTGGGCAAGTCTTAAACTATTTGGGTTTCCATTAACTCAGTATGTTGCAAGTAGATCTCACTTTCTGCATGTTTATCCTTTACTATCTTCGTCCAGATATCACTCCCTTGAGAGGACAGCACAAAATCCTAAATTCTCAACACTAAAATTTTTATTATGAAATTATTAAGTTTCTGAAAAATGTTTTTTTACAAAACAAATTCCTTTTAATCCTAGACCAGCACTTCATAGTAATGAGGTTTTGCTTATTCCTAGATAAGTTATGAGTTTCCACTAAATCATCTGGGATGGAACTATAAAAGGAGCAGAGAGGAAAGGAAGTGCAAGAAATTATCAATATTGGCTGATATCTTCCCTTGTCAGCAACTGAAATTGCTGAGATCTGCTGTAGCTGCAGCTTTGAGCTTTTGCTCAGCCGTCTGCACGTTCCAGTCCCACTGTCACCTTGCTATTAGCTGTAACATTAAAATGTGCAGCTTGCTCAGATTGACAAGCTGGAAAGCTATTTTGCCGTGAGCTTTTCTTCCTCTCCAGTGCAGTACGATGACCGTTTAAGTATGAACAAACTTGATCTTTTGACATATGTCAAGAATCTTAGCGTTCCCTTAACTTATTGGTTTTCAGTGCATTGTCTGCTGCCTTCTGCTGAATTGGAAGTACTTCCAGCAAGGGTCATTGTGAGTCACCTTAATATAGGTACTTTCTATGTGTATATTTTGCTTTAGGGCCTTGCAGTGCTATTGTATATTGCTTTAGGGCTTTAGGGCCTAAATATTTTGCTTTAGGGCCTTGCAGTGCTCCTCCATGTGCTCCCCCCTCATTACTGAAGTGCCACAATCAGCAACATTGAAAAGTGTTCCTAGTAGCTGCATGAGAAAGAGGTTAACATATCACACCCTCCTTCATGGACAGGATCTTCCCCAGATCTTCCACCACCTCTCACTTTAGGATCTTTCTGTCCTCCAAAGCTCCCTCTGTTACTCATCAGACTTGTCCTTCTCTGTCCTCGTGTCTTTCTCTTTTATTTGACAAACACTTTTGCAGAAACCCCTAATGTCCACACCGTCCAGTCCCTTGCTTTTCAAAATTGCTTCAGCAGTTAATTAGCAGATGATTCTTGCCCTGTAGACTTCATAATCTGTCTCTCAACGCTACCAATGTTACTCTCATCATAGACTCACGCAGCATACTTCAGCAGTGCCAGAATCCCACAGAGTCTGTTCTATCTGACACATGCAAAAACTGAATTACATGAAGAAGTGTTTGAGACACCCCAAAATTGCATTATTTTGGTTCGGAATTGCAAGGCTCTTTATGTTACCCCCCCCCCCACTGAAACTAAGGCATGTCTGCTTTAGGTCCAAGTGTCTGGAGGCTGGGTCACCACAAAACTTGCATAAGGGGTCAGATAAAGGGCCTCCATGGAGCAGGAAGGGGTAGGGGGAAGAATCATGTATACCTCAGACTGGTGAATATTCTCTGACTGACCACATTTATTTGGAGATCACATAAGCAAAATAGAAACAAGACAGAGTACATTCTTTTAGGAGAAATAGAAGTCAATGACTCTCAGTTTTTACTTAACAAAAATCAGCCTTTTAGCCAATGTAGTAACAAGATTTTATACAGAAAATTGTAAATTAGAGAGGCAGGTGATGGTAGGCACCTTTACTTTTTCTTCTGGTAAAACATCAAACAGAATTGTAATTTATTTTTGAATGAATAACTTAGAGCATGTCCTATAGCACCACCTAGCAGGCTAATTTAAAAGTGATCTATAACCCTAGATCTTTGACTATAATGGTGTGACTGTGCAAGAGTAAAAGGGTGCGCTTCAGACTTTTTCTGGTTTCCACTTTGTAACAGCTGTTTCTGGAAACCAGAATCATGCTAACATGATGCTTAGTAAAGTTGGGGTCTCTCCTTTTCAATGATTTATTATGAAGCATTCATGAGAAACCGTGGTACAAAGGCAATGCTGTGCCAGTCTTTAGAGACTTTCCACAAGAAACTGAGGGTCTTCTCATCTCCAGCTGGTACAGAATGCAGGCTCACTTTTCAGAAAGCAAGGCTGCACAAACCCATCCAACCCTCTCTTAGCATATGTAAGTCTTAGTGATTCTCAGAGTTAAGAGTATCTAAATCCATCATCACACTGTGCGTTTGTTTAGAGTCTAGTCTTGAGGAGTCCATAATCATGTGCATGCACTTTCTCTTTGTACATCTGTATGGAGTACGAATGTTAATACATTCATCATGAATGATAAGTTTTGGCAGATGATGAAGCTGCACACTGAGGCTGTGGCCCCCTCTGTGGTGAGGCTCCTCTCTCCTTGCTTCTGGCTTTCTCCCACCTTGTTATAGCCCTGGCACTTTTCAGACTCTTCCATGATCCCCATTAAACTGGTAGATGATCTTTTTTTTTTTTTTCTGTTAGGACGTCTTCTGCTGGTAGTGAGTTAAAAGCAGCTTACAAAATGGTCTGATGAATACCAGTTCTAGTAAAAGGTAAGTGGTTCAGAGGGAGAGAGAGGAGTGGCCGAAGTGGGATCTTTTCTCCCACTTTTCCCTTTGGGTGGCAGCAAAATGTTAATTTGTCTTGCCATACTGCATAGTACCATAACCTAAGGCTTGAATGATGCCCTCTCACAGAGGAGCGTGTTTTCTTAGCAATTGGTAATTTGTTTATTTTAAGTTAAGACCAAGGCTGTCATTAGCAGCCTCTGTTCTCAGTCAGGAGAGGTGCTGGTTACACCTAGCCAGGCCTATTTGGCACTGCCACTTCTAAACTATATGGGATAAGAAGGAAATAATCCAGCAGGAAAAAAGGTAGGATTGATTTCTTGAGCAAGATACTTCCATAGGAGTCTTGGAGGAAGATCTGAATTTGGAATGAAATTCCAAAGTACTCAGTCTGCTATCTTATATGAAAGCAAATCTCGGGCCGAAAGGTCCAAGAACTGAACCTTTACCAAAAAGAGATGTCTTAATCAGTGGCTGCTACAAATAAAAGACCTCTTGAAATTAATCTAAGTAAATCTTAACAATGGCCTTCTTTTATTTTCATTCTGCTGCCTCTCGACCCACTGCAAAGTATTACGTCCATGTGGATTGTGAAAATTAACTATCTATTGGCTGCTGAGTGTGAAGGGAGATTTTTAAACGACTGCCGAGCACCAATGCACACCTTTCCAATAGGCGAGGCAAAAACCAATCTTCTACTATCCACTACCCCAATATAAATTCCACAGGGTACCCAAGTTACCTACTGAAGTACCACCAAGCTTCACAGGTCCATTTTGGAGCTGACGACTCAGGACATGAGCTATCATCCTGGGACTAACACTAGGTAGTCTCCCGCATGGACTTTGGGACAGTCTGATTCTGAATTATACTTTCAAATCATGCTTTCTCATGGGTGTTTAAGCCAAGGTACATAGTGCCTGCTGGGGTCTTGTCCTGTCAGCTGCATGTGCCTGCCCCCTTCCTTGGGCAGACCCTGGTGCTTGGGCAATCACACAGTTCAGGGAACTAAGCTGGCCAAAAGCTATTCCCTTTTCTTTTTTTTGCAAGAAATGCACAACTCAGGGGGAAGACTGGACTTAATTCTGCATTAGCTGCCACAGAGCCATGCCCTCTGCAGCCAGTATTTAAAGAACTGCAAAACAGAACTTCCTACCACAACAGCAGACCTTTTCAGGGGCTTTCTCAAGAGTTTCCAGGGCCGTGGAAATAAATTCATGTAGGAGTACTGAGAAACCATACTGGCTGTCTTCTGTTCTGAGCAAATCACAACTTAGAAAAAACAAAATAATCATTGAATGTGTTATTTTCCTCCTATTAAGGAAGGCTTGTCTTAATATATACATATAAACTATTTTGCAAGAAAAACATTTGAAGTTATAGAACTGGAACGCAAGGACATGGAATAAATCCACGGAAGTTCACTCCCTCCTTACTGAAATCCCAGGGACACGCACAGCCCCCCCGCCCCGAATCAGGGTGACCCCGAGCAGGCAGTCACCCCGCGCTTCACAGCTCATCCAGCTGCCAGCGCAGCCTGAGCGTTTCCGAGCCGCGAAGCTCTCGTATCACCACGAGGCTGCTCGTGCCGCAGGCGCTTCCTGGGTCCCTTCGGCTGCTCTAACGCCCTCTTCGTGAGAGAAACCCGCCAGCGGTTTGGCTCTCGGGCAGTTAGCTGCGGACAGCAAGGACGGGCCCCGTTTCCCCGTTTTTCTGGCAGGGCACCGTGCGTGCTGTGGGCGCTCTCCACGCGCCCTGCGACCACGGCGGGCACATTCAGCCCTGAACCAGACTGAAAGCTAAGCGGTCCTGTTTCACATGGTAACGAGGCACTGATTTCTGAAATTGTGGAAACGTAACGCTTGCTGACCCAAGACCTTAAAAAAAAAAAAAACCTAAAAAAAAAAAAAACACCCCCCCACACCAAACCAAAACCCCCTTTC